ATATGTTTATTTTAATATATATATATATATATATATATATATATTAAGTATATAAATAAATAATAAAAATAGGGTTATATAAATAATGAACGTTTTATTAACTTCGGTAGTTACTGTGATCTTCCCCCCCTACTTTTTCTTACCTAAAGAAAGTAAAATGGATATCTAAACATAGTAGATTAAGTTTATAATTATTATAGTTCCTTTCGAGCAATAGTTGTTCATCTTACTATTACATATTAATAATTCGTCAATGAAAAAATTTATTAATAAGTTATACTCGGAATGTTGAAACCTGTATATACTTTTACTAAACTACCTTGCTTCTGCCTGTCAAGAAATATATAAGAGCTTTATTTTTTTGTCTTTTCTTTTTCGAATACGATACACCAAAATCAAGTATGATATTTAAAAGAAATAAAGAGAAAAAAGAAAGTTTGAGTAAGATAAGAAATATTCCTTTCATCCGATTTCATTTATCATTTAAATTATTACGTACATAAAATATTAATTTATTATATCATTTATATAATAAAATATTATTTAACTAAAATATCTTTATTTATTACAACAATAATCAAATGAAAAATTAGAATTAGTTGATTAGTTGAAATATCGATAAATAAATTTTATCAAAAAAAAAATAATGACTTAAATATATTTTAACATTATTATTTCTTATGATTTTTTTTTTTGTTAATTTTAGTATTTATATAAATTTATTTTACAATTTTGGTAATTGATTCTTTCCCTTATTAATTAGTTGTAATTTTTTTTATCTAGGTCACTCTTAGATTAAAAAAAAATATTTGAATTATTATTTAAGAAAATTTTAATGTGGTTATCACGTTATCGGTATCGGTAAAAGTTAAAATTGTGAAAAAATTTTATAAAGGCTAGACCACATTTTTTTAAGAATTAAAAACATAAAAATAGATATATTATAACATCTAAAATCATATTCGAACCAAAATTAATAATTTGAAAATAACTACTAACATGAGAGAAATATAATCAAAAGATATGGAAAAATAAATTTAAAAAAATGATAAAAGAAAATTGTAATATATTATTATATCTTTACTGTGTAAATCGCTGAAGGTTTGTTTGCTGTGTGACTTCACATGAAAAAAGAAAACTGCACATGATAATGAACCACTGTTTGACGACAACAACAATTAAAAAACAAAAAAAGTACACGAAATCAGGCGCGAAGAGACACCTGGAAGAGGTTGTTTAAAGAAATATTCTTCTGGACATATGCTTTCATGTGTAGTGGCTTCCAGAAATTGGCTAACACCACTTTCATATGTCTCATCTCAAGTTTCTTGCTTCATAAGGAACCAATTTTTAAAATACAATAAATAAACAAATGGATCAAAATGAAATTACTTGACAAACATTATGTTTTCATCAGTGTAATTCTGTGAGAGAAGAATACTACTGCTACCTTTTAGCATTTTTTTTTATTAATTGAAATTGGAATTAATAAATTTTGTATCTTTAAAAAGTATTTTGATAGTGAGACTCATAAAATTTGTCATTTTTAAATAAATTTTTATGGATAATATAGAAAGTATTTGAAAGTGTGCGTGTATGATTTTTATTATGAATAATGAATTACACATTCCACTTATGTAGTTTCTTATTGCATCACTTCTGAAAACATTACATTTACCCCTTTTGAAAATTTTGAAATTATTTCTTTTTTATTGAGAAAGATCATCTTATTTTGGGTTCATACAATATTTTATATCAAGGGCAGAAATGATGCAATCTTATAAATGTGTGAATGAATAGAAAATTTCATTCTCTACTATGCTAATATGCTTGCTGCAAACAAAAAAATGAAAAAGAAAAAAGGACGACTTTATAGGGAAACAAAAATTAACTAATTGTGTCAAAACAAAAGTTATGTTTTAAGTGACTTTTAGAATTCATTTACTAAAGGTGAAGGGGGCATTTTAAAAAAATAATGTTATAAAATAATTATGTACATCTGATGCTTAGAAATCATTTAAAAAGAAGTAGAGACAACAATGTATTGCATATAAAATAATTAAAGGATTTTCTATAAGAATAGAAAAGGTATAGATATAAAGTAATGTATTTTTTTTATCTATAAAAATTAAAATTAAAATAATATATTTTATCCTAAATCTTTATCATTGAATCGATTTTAATTATTTATAAAATGATTTATTAAAAAACCTTAGGGATAGTCGATATAGTTTATTCAATGTTTAATATACAAAAACTTACTAAACATTTAACTCAATCTTTGTTTGGGAAGAAAAAATTAACCAACATTTCATATCATCTATCAATTACAAACATCACCACGTGTATTACATCCGATAAAAAGAAAAGGTTAAGTGCATGTTTGGTTTTTAACTCTAACATGAATTTTCACGTTTGCTTGAAGCAAAAAATTTTTGCTTCCACGTAAAATTGATATCTAACGTGGAGAGAATGTAGAATCATGTTTTAAAAGCTAATCCAAACATGCGCTAAATTGATTAAAATGACATGTTCACGTTGAATGCAACATTAAAACAAGTGTCAAAGATTTTCTAATTCATGTGAATGTACAGCAACTTAGTTATAAAAATAGATTTTATAAGTATTTTTAAATTTTATCAATATTAGAAAGTATTTCAAAGAATAAACAGAAAATTGAATCAAATGTTCCGTGAGGTCTAAGGCATGAAACACTCTTGAGAGGAAAAAAAAACACAATATGCTCATTACAATTTCACTAACACTCATTAAAAATCATAAAATTTATAAACTTTTATTTTATTTAATAAATGTTGATTTTCTTTTTATCTATTAGAAATACAAGTCGTTTCAATCATAAGACATATCCATATTATTCCATCTTTCTACCATTAACTGAACAGTGTTATAAATGTTAGTGTTTTCTGCAAATAACTATAATATTAGACAAAATATTACTCCAAAAAAGTGTCACTTATTCCTATCAATGAATATACACTAAATAAATATTTTCCCATTCAAAATACTCTATACCATATTTAAAATCATAATTCCAACTCTAATCAAGTTAGTTAATTAAATGGAGCTGCCATTTTATTTAGTAATAAGATTCACAATTTAAGATTCTTCAACATATTCAAACAATAATAAAAAGTGTTAAAAGAAATTAGGCAGCATAATAAAAACATTAAAACCCATACCAGACTTTAATATTTGAACTACCACAACCAATAAGGTAGTCCACATGATAAAGATATTACCATTTCCATGGATAAAAAAAAGTGTAACATTTATCGAAAGCATTGCAACCAACGTTAAAGAAACCAACATTACCATGGAGTAATCATTTACCACACATCACAAAACGACAAGTAGTATAATGTCCACCTTCAAACACAGTAAAAAAGAAACCCTAATGGCCTAATCGAAACCCAAATCCTCATTATTGAAAAAAAAAAAGGGGGAATTTTTATTTTGTTTTGTCTTCTAAGGAGCATGACCATAAGCATTGAGAGCGTCCCCAGTGAGCCTGCAAATCCTCCACTCGTTCAAGACTTGGGCCCCCATCTCCTGATAAAAGCTGATGGCGTTAACGTTCCAATCGAGCACCACCCACTCCACCCTGCCGTACCCCATCTTCACGGCCTGCTTCGCCACCGCCGACAGCAGCATCCGCCCCAACCCCCTCCGCCGGTAACACTCCCGAACGAACAAGTCCTCCACGTAGAACCCCGCCTTCCCCAAAAACGTCGAATAGTTCGGAAAAAACAACACGAACCCCACAACCACCGCACCGTCGAGGCTCCGAAACGTGTCCCTCTCGGGGTCCTCGATGGGGCGGTCGAGGGTCACGAGTCTGGTGAGGGGCTGGAAGTGGGGGTGGGAGTTGGAGGGAGAGGGGTCGGGGAAGGGGGTGGGGGAAGCTTCTAGAAGGAGGACCGTGAAGGAGCGGAAGGGCTCGGTGGTGGGCGAGAAGAGCGTGGCCGCGAGGGAGGACTCCGTGGCGGAGAAGAGGTGGGTGAGCCGCTCGAACACGGCCATCTGGTGGATCAGCTTGTGGATGTGGGGGACGTCGGCGGCCGTGCCCAGCCGGATGCGGGTGAAGAGTGGGTGGCCCAATTGGGCGGATTCCGGCAGTGCTAGGGAGGGCTCCGGTGCCGGCGTTGGGGGCGGGGGCGGCGCTGCGGCGGCCATTGCTGTTTGCTTCTGGGAGAGTTGGAGAGCCTAGAGATTGGTCTGTGGGGGTATTGGAATTGGATACTCAAAATGGGGGCACAAGGGAAGTGTTTTTAATACACTAATTTTAATAAATAATTTTTTTTTTTTATATAAAATTTGTGGGAAGATAGAGACGATCTGTCTTTATGTATTCCGTAAATAAATAAATAAAATAAGTTATAATTTAATATAATATAATAATTAATATTTAATAGTATTTTATTTAATTTTTTTAGTTTTTGTTTTTATAGCATAAAAATAATAATATAAGATAAAAATAAGAATTAAAAGTGTAATTTAATTTAAATATTTTATAATTATATATATGACATTTTTTATCTTACATGTTATATACAAAATTATTACTCGTGTATGTAGGTTTAATTAGATTGAATTAGATTTAAATATATTTGTTATTCCTTGATTAAAATTTAATGAGTTAAATTTTGTTAAGTTTATATATATTTTGAAATTCAACTCAATTTAATTCAATCAAAGAATAAAGTAGATTGTACTGAATTAATTAAATCAATACAATTAAATTTATATAATTTTTATAAAATTTAATATTTTATAATAAATATAAATTATTTGATATCTTGTTATAAATGTAATATTATTAATAAATAAAGTAGACACTATTACAAACTAAATTTTAAAATAAATTTTTTATTTATTACATTGTTATCAATTTAAACAACTAATATTAATTATAAAATAAATTTTTTAAAAAGATTATAATACTATTTATAACTGAATAAGAGTGATAAAGAGTATTTATTATCTTGAGAAAGAGTATACAATAACGAGTTTTGATCAAGTGGAGTTGATTTTGATCCGAACATTAAAATTTTTTGATCTGAATACGTTGAATCGATTTTGGTAAATTTGAATTCGTGGATTGCACATACCCAATTACATTCTTACTAAATACAATATTTAAATATGAATAGAAAGGAATCCATAATTATAAAAAATAACATATAGGCAACAAGAGGATATCATAATACATAATAACTGAAAACAATATGCCAACCTAATGTTTATTGAAATTTAATAACAATGGAATTTAACAACTGTCCAAAGCATGAACTCATGGCAAAAATTTAAATTCTAACTAAGTCTTAATGTCACATCCTATCAAAATATTAACACCAAAAAAGGTTTAAGTATCGTCTCCAACATCATCAACATTATGTTGAATCTCACTTCCCAAAACATTCACATAAAATGACATAAGAAATGGAAAGTGAGAAACATCTCACTTTCACTCATAACGCAAAATATAATTAGATAACCAAACATACAACAAGGACAACAAGGCAATAAGAACATAGTAATAACAAGGCATGGTAATAACGATTTATCACAATAACAAGGTACAACACAAGCAATAATATAACATATTCCAACACAAAAATACCAATGATTCATTACATAATTTCACTTCACACACATAATGCAATGGACATAGACTTTAATGTGCATATGTATGTGGTGCTAGTAAAAATACACTACAGTGTACAAACAAAAAATCATAGCATATCCACATGCCACAACTAGTTATTAGCATTAAATAGTGCAAGAAATACACATATAAATGATCAATTAGTGTACAAACAAAAAATCATGAATTGAAAGGCAGCGCTAGGCAATAACCACTCTATGCTTGGTTTGAGGCATCTAGAGAGCACACGTTACTCTCAGCACGACAATGCTTGACGTGACCAAGCTCACTCTCGAGGAAAACACCACATGGAGCCCCTTAGAGCTCCTATGCCTGATGTGGATCAACCCACACCTGACGCGAATGGAATAGAGAGAAAACTTTACTTCCAGCCACGACGACGTCTAGTAGGCCCAAATTGGCACTTAACTTTGTATCAGAACCATATCATTTTGTAGAAAGTGAAGATGCACCAAAATGTACAGATACATCAATTCAATGATTTCATTCAATAAAAACATTTTGTAGGCCAACAACATAAATCTATAAGCCAATATTTGCATACATAATAGACATATGGTCAAAACCTTCATAAAAAAAACTGTCAGTGTTGATAGTGTTACAAAAGATGGCCTAACCAAGTGGAGGAGATGAATTGGTTTATCAAAGTTTCTTGCACAACTATCTTGGTTTTGAAAAAAGTTTCTAAATCTTTTCAAAGAAGTGTGTTGACCTATAGGTTGTATATAGGATACTTAGTTCAGATTCAATACAATTCTAAATTTACTCAATTCTTAATTCAATGTACATGCCTCACAACAAAAACAAGCATGAAAATAGAAAGGAAAAAATGTAAATTCAAATGTAGGGAGAAAGAAAAATGCACAACCTATTTATTCTGGTCCAGCCACATCCACTTGTAACCTACATCCAGTCTGATTGAAAATTTTCACTAATCTTTAATATAAGAAATTTTACAATCATAATACCACATGTAATACACTTCTACACTATTAAAGAAACCACTTCTTGAACCCCAAGAAGCATCTACTTGTAGCACCCCACTACAAGATTCTCTCTTCTTAAGAAACCTACTTAAGAAAATAATTAGTACAAAGAATTTAGGAATGAATCCACATGATGTACAAAATAGATCAGAGAAGGTGAATCAACCATGTAGCTTAACCTTTCACTCCATTAAGATGATGATCAACTCAATTCTTGAAAACTTTCTTGAGGTTATCACAAAGGTCAAAAAACCTCTTCTTGTAGAGAGAAACGTGTTACAAAGAGTATTTTCGTAAAAGATATTACAAAGATTCAAAAGTTCTTTGTTCAAGGTGTAAAAATGATATATATAAGTTTTCTTACTGAAATAATTGTTATTTAAATAGATAATTGATTATTTTGTTCTTAACAATTATGAAAATTAACAAAAAATAATTTAATCGATTATTTTGAGCAATAATTGATTATTTTAGAACCTGGTGTCTAAAATAATCGATTATTACAACAACTATTCCTTAGGTAACTGAAAAACAAAGCAAATGATTGATTATTACTTGAAATAATTGATTATCTTAAGTGAAAACTTAATATCTCAAATTTTCATACCATTTCTCCTTACAAATCAATTTCAATGTATAACTAAGCCATCAATCATCATTTAGATAGAGATAAAATGTTAAGTTACTTATCAAGCACAAAACACATAAGCAACAAAGCTTACAACCCTATAAAACAAGATACAACTTGTACTCGTATCCATCAAGAGGCTCAAAACACAAAATAAACTACAAGTTGCATTCTTATATCTCAAGAGGCTCATTTGTAATCATCAAAATCAACTAGGATGATGTCTTCATCTTGAGCTTGATCAACAAACTCCCCCTTTTTGATGATGACAAATCTTTCTTTTCCTTGTTTTGATTCATCCAATTGTACTCTTGTTTCTGTACTCCTTATCTTTCTTTTAAATACCAAATTTCATACTCTTGTTGCTTCAATACTTTGTACACTTAACCTGCAAAATAATTACATTCCTTTCTCTTCTTTGGACATCATAAAAAACAAATCTATGCCAAGTTTAAATCGTTATTTTATATAGTTATTTTTTCTTTTATAAATAAATGTATTATTATATATTCTTTCAAACTCAATAAAAGTATCTAAATGATTATTGTTTTAATATTACTTTCCCCTAATTTATCTAACCTTAATTTTTATTATAATAATTAAATTTACGACTGTTGATTTATACCTATATATATTGACCCAAATATATCATGTGAGAAATCCCTAAGTGTGACACCCTCTACCCCAACATACATATACAGTAATTATAAAAAATATAAAAATTTTCATCATTAAAAATCAAATTTCCAGCCACGTAAGGGTAAAGAGTTCACATTCATAAACTTAATCCAAATAACATGCCGGTAAAATTACAAAGAATAAAAATTGAATTTTCCAAAATATATACTTTAATAAATCATAAACAATGTCATATTCTAATTCTATCTATGTCCCGATGTCACATGTCCTATCAGAGCAAAATCCCACATAGAAGCCTCAGCTCCATCGTCCACATCCTCAGCCTCATGCTGTTGATGGTCTCCTGTATATCAAACAAGGGAAACAACACAAAAGAAAGGAGTGAGAAACATCTCACTCTGGCTCACGGTGTAGGAACGCACACCGGATAGCCAAACACAAACAATACAGTTACCTCATAGATCAATCAACAACAATAGCTTATCCAATCATCCAAGTCATACAAATAGTAATTTATCATCATTTAATAATAAGAATGC